TGCCGCGGCCTCCAAGGTGTCATCGCCGCCTGCCGCGGCCTCCAAGGTGTCATCGCCGCCTGCCGCGGCCTCCAGGGTCCTACGTGTTGGACGGCCTCCCGGCCGCCCCCCTGAACGTGGGTCCCGTGATGGACGGCCTCCCGGCCGCCCCCCTGAACGTGGGTCCCGTGATGGACGGCCTCCCGGCCGCCCCCCTGAACGTGGGTCCCGTGATGGACGGCCTCCCGGCCGGCCCCCTGAACGTAGGTCCCGTGATGGACGGCCTCCCGGCCGTCCACCTGAACAATGACTCCAGGGACGGTCTCTTGACCGTTCAGATCTTTTGTGTTTTTCCTGCTTGTGTCTTGCCTTAGTTCTTTCAGGTCCTTGTGTTCTTCCTTGTGTTTCCTCTGGCCCTCCACCCTTGCAGTGCCGCCCTCCACCCGCCCAAGTCCTTCGGGAGGGGGGTTTTTTGGGGACGCCTGGAGGCGTCCTTGAGGGGGGGTACTGTAAGGATGGTACCTTTTGCTGGTTCTGTTTGTGTCTGTGTTTCCCTAGTGTTTCCTCGTCAGTTTAATTGGTTCTGGACCGTGTTGCTCCCCTTAAGACCAGAAAAACGAAACTTAGATCAGAGCCTTTGCTGAATGACGTCACGCAAGCCGTTAGGCGGCAGTGTCGCAGAGCTGAACGAAGGTGGAGGAAGGACAGGCTCCAGGTGTCTTTTCAAATGTTAAGGGAGAGTTGGCGTCACTATCAGAAAACCATTAAAGCTGCCAAATGTAAATTCTTCTCTGATTTAATTGTCTCCAACTCCCACAACCCCCGAGTTCTTTTCTCCACCCTGAACTCAGTTCTACACCTCAGTGAGCCTTCACCTCTGGAAGCCTCAACTGAGCTGTGTGAAAACTTCCTCCATTTCTTTTTAGAAAAAGTGGCAAACACCCGGGCACTCATTTCTCCGCCAGCTCATGATCTGTCCATCCCATCTCAGTGCGTGGCTGTGTTTGACCACTTTGAGCCCATCTCTCTGTCCTCTCTGGAGCAGGTAATGTGCAGCATGAAGCCATCTGGTTCCCCCTTTGATGTGGTCCCCCCTCGACTACTAAAGGAAGCTTTTCCTACCCTGGGTCCTTTTATCCTCGCTATTCTGAATAGCAGTTTATCCTCAGGTGTGGTGCCAAAGACTTTTAAACATGCTGCTGTCCAGCCCCTCCTGAAAAAACCTAACCTTGACCCCTCAGTCATGTCCAACTTCCGGCCTGTCTCCAGACTCCAATTCACCTCTAAACTACTGGAAAAAATTGTGGAGTCTCAGTTGAAACAGTTTTTGGGGGATCACGCTATCCTAGAGTTATTCCAATCTGGCTTCAAATCTCTCCATAGCACTGAAACTGCTCTACTGAAGGTTTTTAATGACATTTTCATATCCACAGACGCAGGTGATTCTGTGCTGCTTGTCCTATTGGACCTTACATCTGCTTTTGACACCATCGACCACAAGATCCTCATTTCTAGACTGGAGAAGTGGGTGGGCATCACAGGGTCAGCCCTTAAATGGTTTGGGTCCTACCTCTCAGACAGAACCTTCTGTGTCAATATCAAAGATTTTAGTTCGGCATCAACAGCGCTCCAGTGGGGGGTACCGCAGGGGTTCATCCTCGGTCCCCTTCTCTTTTCTTTATACCTGCTGCCACTAGGTGCTATCTTCCGCAAACACAACATACACTTTCATTTCTACGCCGATGATTGCCAAATTTACTTCCCCCTGAGGCACAGAGGCACACGCTCTATTCAGCCTCTTCTTGACTGCCTGGCTGACATCCAGGACTGGATGGCTTTAAACTTCTTAAGCTTCAATGAGAAGAAGTCTGAGGTCATGCTGTTCCATCCCAGTGGCTCACTCATGAACCATGACATTGACCTTTTCTCTTTAGCCCCGCTAGAGAAACAAAAGGTCACTAATCTGGGGGTGATAATGGACCCGTCCTTAAAACTCAACAGTCACGTAAACATGATGGTCAAATCCTGTTTTTTTCAGCTGAGACGGCTGTCTAAGCTGAAGCCTATACTCTCCAAAAAGAACCTTGAGACAGTGATCCACGCCTTCATAACATCTAGGCTTGATTACTGCAATTCACTTCTGTTTGGAATCAGTCAGTCCTCCATTGCTCGTCTACAACTGGTCCAAAATGTTGCAGCCCGATTTTTAACTGGTACAGGCTATAGAGAGCACATCACGCTAGTTTTGGCCTCCCTGCACTGGCTACCCATTCACCTTCGGATCCATTTCAAAATTCTCATGTATGTTTTTAAATCACTGAACAGTTCCGCCCCATCCTATCTCACTGATCTTCTGCAGCCATATGTCCCACCGCGCTTTCTGAGGTCAGCAGACCAGATGCTTCTCTCAGTCCCAGAAACCCGTCGTAAGCTCAGAGGTGACAGGGCTTTCTCTGTTGCAGGTCCACGACTGTGGAATGAGTTGCCACTGAGTGTCCGGCAGGCTCCCACACTCTCAGTCTTTAACTCTCGCTTGAAGACCCACTTCTATTCGCTTGCCTTTAACACGGTGTGATTTGTTTTGGTCCGGTCTGTTCTCTACTCTGTTGGCCATTTTAGTTAGCTTCTGCTGCTATTTGTATCTGTATTTCTATTTTATGTTTTCCTGTCAGCTGTGCATGTTTGTTTTCTTTTGTACAGCACTTTGGTTGGCCTTGTTGCTGTTTTAAGTGCTATATAAATAAATTGGTATGGTATGGTATGGTATGGTACTACACGTTCGCCCCCACAACCGGGAAAAGAGAGTCAGGGACCGGAACTCTCGCCCGCAAACTGATGCCCAGGTGGACTGGACCCCACCTGATAACAGACAAACTGTCTCCAGTTGTCTACCAGATCAAAATCAGCAAAGGCCAAAAAGAGCCAATTGTAAAATGGGTACATCGAAACCAGGTTAAACTACACAAGGCGTTCAATATTTCCACAGGAGACAAAGATCTCACAAACTCAGACCTAGTGGGAAAAGAGGTCGTCCAAGCAGAAACTAAATAAGTTTAAGCTTAATTAAGTGTTAAGATGACAACTCAGATGCAATAACGTGATCAAATCTGACAGTCAGAGTGAGTGATGCACTGAAACGTCGTTTTCTAGTTGCTTAATCACTACTTTTGTCGATGTTG